ATGTGATTGTTAAGTAGGGCTAACTGGCTTTGTATGTTAGCCTATCTTGCTAATTGGTTACCATGAAAACACAAGAAAAGATTACAAACCTGTTGTCCAACAAAAGTATAATGACATGTTTTACTCCAAATTCACTTCATAACATCAGCCAAGTCTTTGAAATAACTTATTTTTGTGATCTGTCATGGTTTGACTTAACAGAATGAGGCAGAAATCATGCCACTTTATATTATTCTATACTGTGATAAAGGCTATGTTGATTAGCATTGCATTTTAAATATACTTTACTCTTATAAAAATACCCGAGATGGCTTGAAGAACACAGATAAACCATATATTGTCGCAATCATTGTTTATTTTCTTCATGTTTCATCAGTAAAATGTCTATCTGTATGTTATTCAGCTACATCTACAGCGAAAGCTGCAGTTGCCCCTCACTGCAGAACACAAGATCCAGGGGGCGTGGTTGGATCCACATCTAGGGGGTGGAGATTGGTAAGTTAAGGGGTGGAGATGGGTAGGTTTAAGGGTGGAGATGGGTGGGTTTAGGGATCAGGGGTGGAGACGGGTACTCACTAAAAAATGTTGGGTTAAAAATAACCCAACAAGTAACCCAACTATGGGTTAACATAGCACCTTCCCAACTGTGGGTTATTTTTAACCCAATGATTGGGTTAGAAGCCAGTTGGGTTAAAAATAACACAACTGTTGGGTTAACGATTTACTTTTATTCATGATATTATTTTAATGAATAAAAAACATTGTTTTCAAATACAGATTGTTTATTTAAGTAGAAAAACAATAAATCTGTTTTAAAAACAGGTTTTAAGTTTTAAATGGCAAATGTACTCAATCTTGGTGAGCCTAGTATTTAATATAAATATGCACAATTATTTGCATATATTGTATTCAAAATACAGGAGTGAACATGTAGAACACATGGCAAATAAATGTTGAAGTACAAATATTCAAAATACACATTAAATTCAAAACAAATGTACACATACAATATACATAAACTAAAATACACGTTAAATTCAAAACACAAATATGCACAGAGTACAAATATTCGTAACAAATGTGCACATATGGTATACAAATTAAAAACAAATATGCACATACGGTATACAAAAAAAAAGGTGCACATATGGTATACAAATTCAAAACAAATGACATTTAATACAAAGTTTTTTAGGAGGCAGCAATGTGTAGAAGGCACTCCTCCAGAAATATTATAGACTGCATGCTGCAAGAACTCCCAAATGGGAGCAGAGGGCTTTGGGTAGTTTATGTCATAGATGTAGAACATTTTGAAGCATTAGCCACATTTAATTAGCAGTTATTTAACCAAATATGTTGAGAAATACAGGGTATGGCTTTAAGTTCAATGAGTAACGTCTGACTTAATTACTAAATTGCCTGTCCTTACTGTGGTTAAAAATGTCTCATATTGTGGTAAAGATTTTGGTAATATCGCCCCCTCCAAGTAGTTTTATCAGAGAGCTGCTATAAAAATTCATGACTTAAAGGGTTAGTTCACCCAAAAATGAAATTTCTGTCATTAATTACTCACCCTCATGTCGTCCCAAACCTGTAAGATCTTCGTTCATCTTCGGAACACAAATAAAGATATTTATTATGAAATCCGAGAGGTTTCTGAACCACACATAGGCAGCAACGTCATTGCACCTTTCAAGGCCCAGAAAGGTATTAAAGACATCGACAAAATAGTCAACGTGACTACAGCGGTTCAACCTTAATATGGATATTTTTCTTACAAAAACGCATCGATTCGCTACAGGAGGCCTTTGTTCACCCCCCGGAGCCGTGTGAGACACTTTTTTTTGTGGAAGGGTGCTTTTTATTTCACGTCTTTTGGACAGAAGGAATGCAACACCCGCTGAGTACAACGATAGAGCTTGAAAGATCAAAGACAATTTTTTATATAACTCCGACTGGATTCGTCTGAAAGAAGAAAGTCATATACACCTAGGATGCATTGGGGGTCTCTGACCCTCCCATAGACAGCAAGGTTAACTACCACGTTCAAGGTCCGAAGCTACGAGAATACTTTTTTTGCGCAATGAAAACAAAAATAACGACTTTATTCCACATTTTTCTATAATTAATGACAGAATTTAGATTTTTGGGAGAACTAACCATTTAAAAAGTACTAGTATCTATTAAGTTCTGGATATGTCTGGTCTAAAAAAGTTTCTAGTAACTAAAAAAAAAAAAAAAAAGTACTAGCTCTATTTTTTCTTAACAAGAAGAGTATAATTAAATACTAGTCACTATTGGAATAAGTACTAGTATCTAATAAATAAGTACTAGTAGCTAAAGAATAAGCACTAGTAGCTAATGAATAAGTACTAGTACTTAATGGAAAAGATACTAGTATCTAAAAAATAAGTACTAGTAGCATGAAAATAGATACTAGTACGGCTTATAGATTAAATGTTAAAACTGCTTTCCATTGACAGATTGGTTACAGCAACATGGTTACGCTCGTTTCAAGCGGCTTTTTTTAATCCATTGTAGTTTTAGATCTGCAATTCAACAGATTTTAAAATAAAAGACATTGTTCAGTAGATGAGAACACAAAACATCCGTATCAAGAGTAACGTTACTGAAAAGGTAGAAACGTTGATCTGTTTTAAAAGCAAACAAATAAAAAAGTCTGGAAGCAGGTCACTAATTTGTTTGTTGTTGTGTGATAAGTCCATAAATAGCTTAATTAGAAAATGTATGCAGAAAATATAGCAAGTCTTAGATTTCATAGTGGTTTAGCATCTCTATGAACAGAATAATTAGCTTCAAACACAGTCTGTCATCATTTATTTACTGAGATAACCTTCTACTTTAAACAGAACAAAATCATGTCCAATTTCACTTTAACATCACTGAGCATCACGATTCTATAGAAATAAGTAAAAATAAATTTAAAAAATTTGTCAGCAGTAATTACTGCTGTGTTCTAAAGAGCTAAATGTTTTATAAATAGACTTGAAAGTTAAAATAAAATAAATGTAAAAATAAATAAATAAAAATAAACAACAGATATGCTGTGACAATTGTAATTTGTATGATAATGTGAAAAGGGGAAAAGTGATAACTGAAATAAGTAAACCATTTGGGTTCATTAGAGAAAACAAATCAGCATGCCGTGGCAAAGGTACAATAGATCAAGATAAGCATACTTTTGAAAGATTTATACTATATCCACCCTGATACTCACGGCCCACTGCAGCTCAAATACCCCAATATTGCTTTATATATAGAATCTACCTATGGTTCAGTACTGCTTTAAAAATGCTTCCTGAAGCTTCTGGCATTTGGCTAATAAATCTGCTTTTGCTCCTCTCATCATGTGAGCAATAATCCCAATCAAAATGATGCAAAGAATTGAGAGAAATATGAGTGCAATGTTTCCGTCTCCAGCATCTCCTGGAACTAAAACAGACACATCCGTTAGAATGTTAATATCAAGACTGCATTCATTTTAGATTAATTTAGCTTTTTGATTTAATAGTAAATTTACAGGTGCAATTTACTGGTGTTCAAAAAGTTTCACTATATATAATGAGGACATTTCTGAAAAGTGAGGGCATTTTGGACCTCACAAGTCAAACCTGTCAACACACACATACACAAACACACACAATTCCTTAGCTATCTAAATTCTCATTCCTTACCTTCTATGCAGCTAGTTATAAATATTATAACCTAACACTAACCCACACTCTAACCCTACACACCAACCCACGTTTACAATCTAAATGGGGACATTGCATAGACTTCTGTTGTTGTTATACACAGACTATACTGTATATACTATAGAGAAAACTTTCAGAAAAGATGAATCACTGTCTGGTCAACTAATATTTCAATATAGAGAGAAAGGTTATGATCATGATTTTTGGTAGTACTACAGCACATCGTGAGTGCACATTAGCACCTTTTCTTGTTTGCTTTTGGGATCCGAAGGAGTGTTTGGACCAGTGGTCATAACGGATACCAAAACCAATTCCTTTTCTTTATGCAATTCACAAATTTTGAGACACATGAAATTCAGAGTGAAGGTCTTTACCATAGATCACAGGTCTCTCAAGGTTCTGGTTCAGGAGGTGGTTCTTCAGTGTAAATGTGACATTAACTGCTGGCTTCTGGGCCTCATATCTGCTCCTAACTAAATAAAGTCCATCTTCTGTCTGGTCATGGAGCTCCAGGTGATGAATGAGACTCTGGCCATATTCATCCAGCCAGATCACCTCAGGTTTGGGGAATCCCTCTGTCTCAAACTGCACTGTTATTGTGGTGGAGTTCACATGAATGCTCAACCTGGGCTCAGAGTAAAAGGCTGAAGAATACATACATACTGAAACTGGCTGTTCAATAGTGATCAGAGCATGGCTGTTTTGAGAGATTTTAATGCTTAATTTTGCTTCATTATAACATTATAACAAATGACAGTGAGTGTTCACAAATCCTGCATACCTCCATAGTCAAGTTTTATTTTGGCTTTTTCTGCCCCATTGATGTTGTTCACTTTGCACAGGTACCAACCCACATCCTTCAGTCCAACTCCATCTATCCTGAGAGAGGCATTCCCTTTACCAAGCTCTGAAATATACAATGAGGTCCGGTTGTGGTATTCTGGACTTTGATGGTCTAGCTGGTTCTGTTCATAATAGAAGCTGTGCATGACTTGTGAGTCCTCCTGGCGTTGCCACACTATAGTCAGGCTGGAGAGGTCAGGGTGCGGTGTAAAATGACAGCCCAGTACAGCTGGATGACCCCTGACTGCAATCAAGTGATCATTTGGTATGCTTATAAAAGATGCTGAAAGGAGAAGATTAAAAGTTTAACATGAGAAATATTTGCATTTGCAATATTTATAGCTGTTCATCAGCTGTACATGTAATATTACGGACACATAAGAGGTACAAACTTTTATTTTGTATTATATTTAATTATTTTTATTTTTTATTAAATCGTACTTTTAATTACGATCATCTTACCTGCACTACTGGCTAAAATGCAAAATAGGAGTTGAAGCATTTTATTAAACCCAGTAAGAATTTTAAGACATCCTTCTAGTTCTTCTACAAAAACAAAGAAAAAGAGAACGTGCTAGAAGCTTAGTACCCACAATCAAAATAACATCTTTAAGAATACTCCAAAACATTGCTACAAGTGCAATTAGCAACAAAACTGAATGGATCTTTTCCAATTTAATATATAATATACAAGACTGCACCATAAAAGTATCAGTTCCAGTAGCTCAGCTGGCTCTACTAGCAACGTCATGGTCATGTGTTTGTGTCACAAGACAAAAACACCCTGGCAAAATGTAAGCACTGAATGCACTGTAAGTCACTTGAATACATCTGAAAATGGCATGAATGTAAATGTATCAGTGTGTCAAATTTACAGTAGTTACAAGATTACAATTGTAACCTATTCAGTTTTCCCCTCTGATTTAGTATTATTTTGAAGTCATCATGCTATTAAATAAAAATTATAATGGATAATAAAATACTTTTATCAAGAATTAAACAAAATAGTCATTATAAATAACAATGCTCACAGCCATATGATTTCACTTAATTTCATACCTCCACAGCCACACAGATATCCCACAGCGTTGTCTACTGATTTTTACCTGACAAACTATATGGAAACTGGTTTCCACATAGTTATGAAATATGTTCATAATAATTATATATAAATTCTTACGAAAAAACTTTAGCCTTACCATATCTGACAAAGTCGTTTAAAGACTGTTTAAAGTGAAAGACTGCACCTGGACGTGACCCTACTTCTTTTCACATTTCAATTGTTCTGTCCTGGTTCTGCCACTAGAGGTATGGGATTATATCTCTGCCACAATTCTGCACATGAAAGATCATATTTTGAGTAAGCAAAAGTGCGTTTTGCATGCGCACAAACTGAGTTTTGTGGAGAAAATGTTCGTCTCGCAAAGAAGAAAGTATTTTGAGCACACGAAAATCAATTTTGCATTTAAAATAAGTTTTTGGATTTGTGCAGACCTTCTCTTTTGTGCATGCAACGTTTCACTAGCTTGCTCCCTTGATGCCTGCCCTCAGTGACATGATTGTAAAGCGCTTTGTGTGTACAGCAATACACAATAAAGTGCTATATAAATGCATCATTCATTAATTCATTCATTCATTCAACCAATCACAACATTCCTTGCATTACCACGACAGCAGAACAGGAAAAATACAGTGCATGCATAATTATTATGCAAGTTGATATTCATTCAAAACTTATTAAATGCCCATGATAAATATTCAAAACTAATACAATACTAGAAATTGCAAGGTTAATGTATATCCATTGAACAGCAAAATGCTCAGTGGGTCAGCAGGGTCAGTCAAAATTCACATACTGAAGTGTAGTAAAATACTTGAAGACTGTTTTTTTTAAATATAGGCGTTATAGACAGATAAGTTGAGAGTGACTCTTGAAGGACCAGCACCACATCTTCTTGTACCACTGTTTGAAGAATTTATCTTCCAGAATCTGGCAGTAAGTTTTGGGAGTTAATTTTTAGTCCATCTCGAGATTTCATCTGTAGAAGATAACCTGCTTAACCCTTTCACTGGTGAGTTTAAAATATTCTAGCGGTCCCTCCAGAGTGAGTTTTTTTTTAGGCGACCATTATTTTAGAACGTTTCCCGTTATTGTTTTCATGGCGACACGTCATGCTTGTCACGTGACACACTGCGGCCACAATAACACTGTATGACAAATGGATCGCTTTTATTTCGTTTTTCCTTTTTTATTCAAAATTTTCATGAACTTGCTTACCATATCATCAACTACCTGATATTCTGATTCACACATATGTGTAAATGAGTGTGTTTTGTCGTTTAAAAATCGTTCTAAATGATCTTGATCGTGATCTGTAACGTGAGATGGGCGCTGCCATGTTTGTTCGCACTGCAGTTCAGAGAGTCCTGTCAATCGGATTTACCGCACGTAAATTCATCAATTTCTCCCGAAATACATACAAATAATTGGCCGGTGAACTGGGAGAAGAATAGAGTGAACTTTATAGTTACTTACATCATGTGTATCTGATATTAATAAAACTCGTCTGCAAATTATATTTGAATGGATTATTATTGCTGCTTCCATAAACATTTGTGTGTATTTTACGAACTCTAAATGTATTGTTTTACTAGTACTTATATGTATTTAAATGTCTAAAATAAACCTAAAATAAACCTAAAATAAACATTATGTGGTTAAAAACACTGCATAGTTGTGATTATATGACAAGTGCAGCGGCGTCTCAGCGTCAGCCAAAGCGCGAAAACGCAGTTTGAATTTGGCAGTTATGTGACGTCACCGAACGTTCTAAATCCCATATGTGGGACCGTACTCACAGGGGCACGGAAATAAAAATCCCATATGTGGGACCTTACCGCTCAAAGGGTTAATAATTATGCACACCTGAATATAAGGCGTTTTTCACTTCCAGCCTTCATGAACAATTATATATCGGTAATAAGTGATTAAATACAAGATTAATAGTAATTATTAAGATTGATGTTGTTTGGAATTGGTAAAATGTGCTTGGAAAAAAATATAATCAGAATATCAACTTGCATAATAATTATGCATGCACTGTATTCTTCCTCTTCTGCTGTCGAGGTAATGCAAGGAATGTTGTGATTGGTTGTCAAGGCAGCCAACCAGAATTTAGCAGCCTCGTCTCTGATTGGCTGGAATTATGGCATATTGTAATGCTGGGTTGTGTTGAGCAAGCCAGCCGTCAGCATTTAGAGAGCACTAAGGGCGGGCATTAAAGGGGTCCTAGTATGCTCCTTTACAAAGTCTTGATTTTGTTTTGGGGGTGTACTAGAGGGAGCAAGCTAGTGAAACGTTGCACTGCAAAAGAGAAGGTCTGCACACATCCAAAAACTTATTTTAAATGCAAAATTGAAAATTTTGCTCGAAATACTTTTTTCTTTGCGAACATTTTCTCCACAAAACTCAGATTGCGCGCGTGCAAAATGCACTTTTGTGCTCTCAAAATATGATCTTTCGCGTGCAGAATTGTGGCAGAGATCTAACCCCATACTATCCTCTGAGTCTGCTCTGCACGCGACCGCACCACACACGTTTCCAACAAAAGGAAGCAATTTGAACGAGCACTGAGCGGGAAATAAGCTCGTTCTATTCATAAAACCTATTTCCTTAAGCTATCAACATTGAACACCTGGTTTTACCAGCTGCCAGTGTCCGTTGGCAATTTCCCGCTCGACCTGTATGTATCACACCGCAAACAAAGACATAAAGACAGCTGGCTTAATGGCATAGGCTACTCACTTCGCGTTGCAGCCAAAAACGTGTCCATTCATGGGTCTGAATCTCAGAGATGTTTCCTTGTGTTGCGCCTGGATCATCAGTGTTGGTAAGGCGAAACTAGCTTTTAATAATAGGAGCTCCCGATTCTTTTTATATAAAATCTTTTAAAGATTTTTTAAATTTTCCTTTTGTAATTGAAATGTTTTATGTATAACTTATATGATTCATTCTATATGAATATTACAATCATTAACATTAGTAATATTATACAGTTCACTTATTAATGCGTTTTTTTTTTATGTGGTATTGGGTCTTGCCTCAACACATTCACCACCACGTGTTCTTTTGTTAAGAGAGAATGGGGGCTGTTTTGTTTCAATGTCTGTTAACCAAATAAACTTGGATATGTTATTAGCGATTCTATTGTGATATTGTATTTTGCATGTGGATTTTACAGCTTTTTCTAAAATTACCACCAGGGATGTTATGACCATTACTTGTAGTTGATGTACTGCTGTCGTGATGTTTACGATTAACCCTGGAACAAGACTAGAGGAATACATCTTCCACAGTTTTGTAGAAGTTTTAGAAGAAAACCAGATGGATTTTTCAAGACACTAAAATCACAAATCTATATTTATATAGAGAGAAAAAAAATAATGATAGATAATATGTGTTTGAATGAAAAGACTGTTGTTAATGAACACCTGTTAAACTGCCTGATCATATTTTCTAGCCTCTTTTAGGGTGAATGTTCCTGAAAGGTGTTTGCTGGCAATCCGAGGTCGTCCAGCTGTACTGGGCTGTGAGTTCACACCTGATCCTGACCTGTCCAGTCTGGTGGTTACCTGGCAACGTCAGGAGGACTCACGAGTCGTCCACAGTTTCTATTATCAACAGGACAAATTGGACAGACAGAGTCCAGAATATCACAATCGGACCTCATTGTATATTTCTGAGCTTGGTAAAGGAAATGCCTCTCTAAGAATGCATCCAGTTGGACCAAAGGATGCAGGCCGGTACCTGTGTCAAGTGAGCAATGCTAAAGGGACAGGAAAAGCCCTGATAGAACTGGACTATGGAGGTATGTTATAAGCTTAAAATAAACAGAATATTTTTAAAAAGCTTTTTTATATTATTATAGCTTGAACAAGAACATAGTTTAACTTGAAATGATTGTAACTTAATTTATCATATATAGTCTTCCATACAAATATCTGTGGATGGCTCACAAAATAAAGTATCCAACACAGACAGCTTATTCAGTACAGAGTTGTGTAGAATGCCATGTTATTTACTACTGTATTTACTCACTCTGAGTGTGTGTGTGTGTGTGTGTGTGTGTGTGTGTGTGTGTGTGTGCATGAGTATGTGTTTTTCAGCCCTTTATTCAGAGCCCAGGTTCAACATTCATGTGAACTCCACTGCTGTGAGTGTGCAGTTTGAGACCGAGGGTTTCCCCAAACCTGAGGTGATCTGGCTGGGGGAACACAACCAGAACCTCAGCTATCACCTGGAGATCCAAGACCAGACAGAAGATGGACTTTTTTACATAAAAAGCATCTATGAGGTCCAGAAGCCAGTGGTTAATGTCACATTTACACTAAAGAACCACCTCCTGAACCAGAACCTGCAGAGATTGGTGTTCCTCAGCTATGGTAAAGACCTTCTTTCACTCTGAACTAAGTTGTCAGAAGGCATTTACTATGAAATGGGGTCAGCAATGTAAAATGATTATAATTCAAATCTATACACCATGAAAATGGAAGTATAAGAGCCATTGTAATCATGGTTTGTCTATAATGAATGCATGCTGTATAGAATTAGATGTTCAAAGCCTGTGAAAATGACACTGAATATGTGCTATATGACTTAATGGAAAACATGTAAAATTACTTAAAAATAGCTAAACGCAGCTGGAGGTATTACCAAATTTCCCAAACATGTGAGGGACATTGTAAATTCAATTCTGAATACAATTCTGTAAAGTTCTCTGCAGGCACAGATTCTACGTGCCTGTGCGCATGAGGCTATGCTTATAATCATAAGATTAATAGTCCATTGTATGTCAATGGAAAAATATTCTTCTCAGAGGAAAAGAATGTAACAGTATGGTTTTTAACCAGTTTTGCTGGTTAATCCATCCTCATACCACATTACAACTTAAACGGAAAAGCAGGCTTATAGGCTTTCAATTACAAAAAGAAAAGATGATAAAGGAACTGGTGACATAAAAAAAACTAACTGGGATCTGTTGCCTTAATCATTGTAATCTTATAAAGACAACCACACTGTGAGGAGATGAACTGACTAACTTTTTTTTTAACCCATTTCTTTTGTAACCAGGACAAAGGCAGTCATAAAAAGAAGAAATGAAATCATAGAGTAGCCCATAGTGGTTAGCCCAAGCTTCATTTTCTCAACAAACAGCTAGTAATATATAATGTATAATTACAGCTAACACGAGGAAGATGATGCTGGGCTGTGATTTCTTCTAAATATAGTGTTTGGGGAAAAAACCCCATCGGCATCAGGTTACAGTGAATTATTTTTTTTTACACGCAAGTCATACGACTAGATTGGTTTGAAAGCCTAGTTTGTGCAGTAACTGACATTTAGGTTACGTTGTGTCACTAATTTGAATGCAGAGAAAATCAACCAAAAATATAAAAAATGTTACTGAATATTTTTTTTTTTTTAGGACTGAATAAATTATATTCATGAAATGTATTGCTGCCTCTGTGTGAGTGTAGTTTTCACTACTGGATACTATAGAGAATAAAAAAACTATAATCTCACTTGCTAAAGGGTGATTTTATCTGTTCAATACACAAGCTGGTTGTGGCCTGTTTTTGAATTTCCTACATGTCTCTGCATGGTCTTCAATTTTCTTTGGTAGTTTTCAGGTATTAAGATTCTGAAGCTTGATTTCAATTTGAAGTTAAATGATCTAAACCCAGTTTAACAATAGTTATGGCTTGAGGTAGGATTGATGCAAGCTTTGATGTATAGCTTATATCTAACAAATGCATCTTTTTTAGTTTCAGATGAGGATGGAGATGGAAGCACTGCAATCATTATTCTCTCAATACTGAGTGTCATTCTTTTTGCTGTTGTGATGTTTTTACTATTAAGAAAACAAATAAAGCCCTACCTATGATCCTCCAATCTCTTGTCATCACTATGGTCCTTTCTGGCATGTTGAAACATAATTACTCCAAAATAAAACTTCTGGCATTGTTTAGGAGAAAGAAAAAAAGGAGCAGATGCATATTGTTCTAATGTTCAAATGATATAATTATTTACTTGCCATATTGCTGTTTCAAACGTACAGAAAACTGCTGCCGGGTTCTATTTATGACGTGCTGACACATTTTTCAAATGGTTTTCAACGGTTGTTTGATCGCGTCCAGTGTAGGCAGAGCTGTTGTAGACACGGTGTTACTCACCTATTGAGAAGAAACAAAGCAACCTCGGCGTCCGATCGCAGGCCTCCGCTCCTTGAGTTCTCTCCAGCTCTGGAAAGCTGATCCGATATTTACACGGGTCCTACTTCTTGCCTTATCGTTCCGCAGACGTTTTCCTCTTTTGTTTTTTATCCGCCATCTCTATCTTTCTGTCGCTCGGCTCGGCTAATGTCCGTCCCATGCACTGAAAGCTCTCTCCTCCACATCACGAGTAGACACGCCCCTTATTGCTGATTGGCTACAAGTTTGTTTTGCTATTCGGCCCGAATCAGTTTTCTAAAGTGTTTTTGAAAAATCACATACCCTGTCTTTAATTTCTTGGGGAAGTTCATGCAAGCCAAATCTGCTCAGGTTTAGCGCAAATACTGAACTCGTGAGACATCATGACATTATCGAGTAAATTGCAAAACCTAAACAAAACACACCTACAGAGGCGTGCATACGCCACGAGATGAAGTCTGGTTAGACCAACACAGGATTTAGTGCACGTGTGCATTTAGAGTGTGTTCTTTCACTGCATGATTCAGTCTATTAATATGCATTAACAATGATCACATACTTCAAGATAAGGAGGCAGAAAATGTATATATTTATATAAATTCATATAGCTGTTCTGCGTCTCTGAGCAACATGACGTTGTTTCGTTCCTGAATGAATCAACTGTGTAAATGTTTCGGTTCAATCGCAATGACTCACTTAACAGTGACTTGCTGCCACCTACTGGCGGTTTTAATTTCACATTTAAAGTATCTTTTCATTTTTTAAATAATTTCAAATATCAGTATTCAACATTTCATTGTTTAAATATCAAAACATTATTTATGCATTTGTAACTGCAGGTTAAAGTTTAGTAGCCAAATTGGCTGGTGAGTGAAAAAGTTAATTTCAATCCCTGATTAGGATCCTGGTGAATGTAAATGGATAGATGTAACAACTAATTGTGAGTCCTGACAACCTTGTCCTGGTGCTACCTGTATCGACCTTGGGTTAAAGATGTTTTACACCCTGACAGCATGTGTGCCAGTGTTCCCTTTTGACCGCAAAGCTTGCAGTACGGGTCATCCCTCAACCCCCATGTGTGCAGATGAGATGGTGAAGGAAGGGTGTCATACACAGAGTGCAGTAGGAAGGAGATAAATGTAAATGTAAATGTAATTGTTGGCGACTTCAACATGTTAACTTGGTATATATTATGTGTATCTTCTTTACAAATATATGGAGCCTATTTGAATATCAGCAGATTTGTATAGCCAAATGCCTCTGAGTATCCAATACAGACAGCTTATTCAGTAAAGAATTGTGGAGAATTTGAGAGGTTAAATGGACTAAGTTATTGCTGGTGCATCTTTGCTTCACACACAAATTCAGAAAGTGACTTCAGTAACCTCAGACTGAACTCACTGTCTGAATGTGTGTGTTTTTCAGCCCTTTATTCACATGCGGCCCAGGTTCATCATTCATATGAACTCCACTGTGATAGTTCAGTTTGAGACAGAAGGTTTTCTCAAACCTGAGGTGATCTGGCTCGGGGAACACAACCAGAACCTCAGCTATCACCTGGAGCTCCACGACCAGACAGAAGATGGGCTTTTATTACATAAGGAGCAGCTATAAGGCCCAGAAGCTAGTGGTCAATACACTAAAGAACCACCTCCTAAAACAGAACCTTCAGAGACTGGTCTTCCTCAGCTATTGTAAACACATTCTTTCACTCTAAACTACATTCACTACAGAATGGGGTGAGTGGTGATATTAAAACTAAAACCTTTCAAAACAGAAGTGAAAAGTCATAGTAGCCATGAAAATGTATACAATATACATTAATATGTATACAATAAGATATTCAAAGTCACAGTGAAAGTGACACTGAATATGTGCTGCGTTACTAATAGTCCAGGTGATATGTGAAAATAATGTTCACTTTTTTATAAAAGCATGAAACTTGGTACACTTTTATGTTTCGATGGTCAAGGATTACAGTGATACCATATACAACAACATAACTGTTCAGGTTAAGAGTTAATGGTGAAATCAGCAATGTGAGTAGGAAATCATATCACAGCATTTACAAAGGTCCATATTATGGCTATTAATTTTTTTCTTTCTTTGATAATTAACTAATATTTTATTCAATAGTACAATAAAAGATTGTTTTCAAGAATACAATCATTTATTTCAGAGATATAAAAAACAAATCTCAGGTAAGTGTATTTTTCCTTACCTCTCAGGCAGAGTCAGGTAGGCGGTAGTGTGTTTCCAATACATTCTTGTTCTCTCTCAACAATGCTCTAACATCACACGCAGATGACAACGCAATCAGGTAAACAGTTAATCGTGAATTCAGTGACTTTATGAGAAGAATTACAATGAAATCTCAGAAAATGCAGAATGAAATTTCAAACATATTTCATGTCAACTTAATTTACAATCACTTTCTGGGGCCAGAGTTGTCTATTATGTTAGTGTCCACAAGGGGGAAGCCAGAGTCCTGCATGCGGGCGGTTGCGGGTCCAATAACCAAGACTATTTCGACTTGGTTCAGTACACGCTGAGCAATGTAGCCAATCGCGCTGCCACTGATTGGCAGCTGTAGTGGTTATATTAAAGGGAGCGCTCTTTGGTTGCTTTCTGTATTTAATCTATTCACAATTTGAATAAAAGTTTTAATAAATGAGTTTCGTCTACCTCATGTAGGAGATTTAATGCAGGTACGGTTCGGGTCCCAGTTTTTATGTCAAAATGGGTCGGGTATGGGATTAAATTAGTGTTGTTGTCAGATAACGTGTCGGGTGTTCTGTTAATTACTGCGATTGTGGGAAGATCATTTCACCAGCCTAAAGAGTGGAGTGAAGTGGGCCTTTTGGGCTCGTTGAAGACCAGTCGTGCCGCTGCATTCTGAATCATTTGTCGAGGTTTGATTGTGCATGATGGAAGTTCAGCCAGAAGAGCACTACAATAGTCCAGCCTAGAAATGACAAGGGCCTGGACAAGAAGTTGTAGCCCAGGTTGGAAGGGCCTGATCCTCCTGATGTTGTGCAATGCGAACCTGCATGATCGAGCTGTCTTTACAATATGGTCCTTGAAGGTCAGCTGGTCACCAAAGAATAATTTTTGATGAACCTAGCAGGATGATGAAATCATGCTGTAGAGTCGGAGTGGCAGGGAAAACGCGCTGCTCAGGCGTTGCCAGGTTGAGCT